CATCAATTAGAAATTAATGATCCAATTAGAAGTTGGTGTGTATTTGAAGATTCTGCAACCAAGCACGTTTTGACTGCCTTTCAGAAAAAGAAAAAAAAAGTGCTAAAAAACAGAACCTGAGAAAGCATCTGTCAATATAGCATGCTGACTATAACTATTGACAATATGTGACAAAGTGATGTAGTCCCTCATCCAACCTATGTTTAAGAGAATGATACGATTGTTGATATAAATCTGTGAAATCTATTCCGGAGAGATTGTTCTCGTCACAAAACTTAAGCTTTACTCATACTAACAGCACTAGACTAGCTTGCATCGTGTCTTCACCTTTTCTTTGTTATGAATCTTCTGTTTCTCTCTATCCCCAGTTGCACATGCCTTCAAGTCCAGGGATTTAGAAGCCCAAATGTGTGTGAGCGCTTCCTTGGTCCCCATTCTAATAACACTGAAACTCCCAGTGTGCACCGGGGCGGCCGTGCATGCTCCCCCAGAACGCCACAGGGATCTACGGATCAAATTCTCACCTAATCAGGGGATATGTGCTTTAGATTGAGCCGCCAAAACTTGACAAAAGACTGGCGCGCACACAAACAGATAAAATAAAGCTATCAGCAGTCCAGCCACATCCACACCTTTCCATAATTCATTCAGAGGGATATAGATTCAGACAAAGACAAAGGCAACATTATTCACAGACGAACTACCAACATGGACCAGACCACACCGCTACCATCCCAAATAGAAAACCATTTTTATGCATGGTTGAATTGAACTGAGGAGAAGGCACACTTAATGGAATATTGTGTGTTTAAGTGTGTGAATACCAAAGTAAAGAAGCAGAAAACAACACCATTCAAGAATCCACAAACCTGATTTTTTTGCACGGGGGATAAATAAAGTATCTGTCTATGTATATCTATAATCTGCATTGAAAGACAGGTTTAATATGTTTGGTTCAATCGGATTTCAGTTTTGTTCTTCTAGCAATGAAATAATGCACTCATACACTGCCTGATTGGAGTTTGCAAGTTCTCCTCGTGTTTGCCTAGGGTTCCTCCGGGTGCTCCGGTTTCCCCTTTACCACTAAGAACGTGTACAAGAAGCAAACTCCTTCAGCTCTATTAGTCCTGACCCAACATGAACATCTGAACAGAGGTCAATGAAGGATGGGTCAAATGCAGAGGGAAAGATTTGGGCCAATCAAGTATGATGTTGCCCATTTTAAAACCAAAAATAACAATATTAATGATACAAATCAATAATGCATGTAATAATAATTTAATGGTATTAAAACCAATTGAACTTCATGTTTGTACGTTTAGTTCAATAACTGCCATAGATTGGGAAATTGAATGCCCTTCCAATTCAAAATAAACCCAATAAGCTTGATTATGTCGTCATCTGCCACCACTTCGTACCTTTGTGTTCACAAAACCATGTACTTGGCATTGTGGGTAGCGTGCACACACTCAAATATTCAACACCAAAGGGGCGAGCGAAGAGAGGGTGCAATCCCGGGAACGAGACTCCACACACAAGCAAACAAACACATCTCCACCATTCCATCTATCGGACCAACAAACCAGGCATCGAGTGGTCTTTAAATATTTACCTGTGCTAAAGGAAATGGTGAAGCTATACAGGAGAACAAGACGGAGGGGAAACTAAAGTGTGATTCAAGAAGAGAGAGAGGTGGATGTCAAGTAATGGACTACACAACTCGGGAAGGATGGAAAAGGGGCATCTACATAGAAACTTGCCATAGAAGCCAGATCCAGAGAAATGAATTTAAAATTGGGGTGCCCTTGAGCAAAACACTTTTCCTATATGAATGACCCAGGATAGTCTTATGATAGGCTTTGATCATAAGACTTGATCAGAGGAGAAACACCATCTTTAAAAAGTGTCCGTCACTGTTTAGGCAGTCCATCCATTCCATCATAGAAATAAAAAGGTGGAAAATATACTAAAACATGATAAAACATATTATATAAAAACATGTTTTTATCATGTTAATACCAGCACGAAGTAAATAAAAGGCAAAAAGAATGTCAAATGAAACAGAGAATGTGAAAAGTGGTGTATGAAGTCTGGGAGGGAGAGATCCAGGAGGATGGCACTGATCAGGGCCACAGCATCTCTTATTTACACACACACACACACACACACACACACAAAACATGTCTTATTTACCAGCTTACGTCTGCACTATTTATGGTGCACTGGGGAGAGCCACGGAGAGAGGAAGAGAGGAGAGGGGCTTAAATATGCATAGGGGCTGCTTCTTCTGGGACAGACGGGGGGAGTCTGGGGGAGACGAGGAGGGGGAGACACAAGAAACACAGCCCATATGAGCGGAGGAGACTGTGGCCTCACTAAAGTGATATTCAGGTCTTTGAATTAGGGGTAAAATGGCCATGGACACTGAAGTTACAATGTAGAAAGTACAAATGGAATACAAGTTTTGTCCTTTTCTAATTCACGAGTCTATCCCTGTGGATGAAGTGCTTTGCCCAAGGATACAAGTGCGGGATCCTTGGGCAAAACACTTCACCCACTTTTCCTGAACGAATGAGTTGGAGTAGCCTTATGATCGGCAGCAGTCATGTAGTGAGCTCGAGGAATGAACATCCAGCAAAATCATTAAGCAGAAAAAGACTGTAAAACATTCAATTTGGTGTTGAAATATAAATGTGGATTTCATCTCTGCAGGCTGTGGTGTTCTTGTGTAAGTGAGACCAGACCTGAACAAAGGTAGAGCAGTAGAACAGGGCCATTTGGGGGGAGCGGATGATGCAGCGATGTGTCCGCGAGGAGCTGGCCCTTGGGTGCATGAGTGAGTGAGCTGGACATCATAGGCCCTCTGAGGAGCTCAAAGAGGCCAAAGCCTTTTCTAACTGGCCAAACCGCCTTCTTCATCCATCGGCACCTCATTAAATCGCACACACACAAATTAGCCTATTCCACTTTCTCTGGCATATCCACGGTGGCACACATACACGCGCTAACAGCGAGCAGTGGCATTAACCTCTGTGCTTGTAGCTCTCCATCTTTCCCAGCCAGCCTTTCTGTCTAGCCCACTTAGAGAGCTCTCCCATGGGGCAAAGGAGCTGTGGCAGGTCAGAAACGGCGCACAAGTTCTTACATACACACAACCAAAAGGCTACTAGATGGATATAGGCACAGCACAGCGGCCGAGATGAGTGTATGGAGCTGGGGGGAGGGAGAACTTGAATAGAGTTCAACTTCGCTGGAACAAAAACAACTGAATTATACTTATCTGATCCAATGAGAGCACAGCTTTTTGTTTCAGGCAGCTAAAGCCAAGGAAACCATAACCCCGATTTACACCAAGCAATGCGAGTAAAATGTGGGCAAAACAAGAGACGTGCATACATTGGAAAGCGTTCAATCTACACCAGAGGCTCACAGACTGTATTCCCCGCAGTGATAAAAAACGTACGTTAAAAAAATAGGATTCCGTCCAATTCATAGTAGCAGTGACACAATTACATTTGCTATGGACCTGCATTTAACCGCTAAAGTAAATTGTCGGGGTCATTACAATGAAAAGTATATTGGGGGTGCGTCAATAGTCAACGTGCTTTTGTTGTTGTTTTTACATTGAACTGTTTCAAAACTGTATTGGTATCTGAGTCTAGTTTATCCCTACCCCTCAAAGTTGCATTACCCGCTCCCCGTATGTACCTGGAAGAGTAACCATGATATTCTGCCAGAGACCTGTGCACTTGATGACTACAATGTGACCGGGCCAAAGACAGTGGTGCTGAAATCAAATGGAGATAAGTGTATGCAGAGGTGCACGAGGGCCGAGGGCAACCGTGTGTTGTTTGTGTGTGGACATTAACCGACAGGGTCCAGCAGTCGCCCTGCTGCTAAATGGACTGACCGGCCATATGCCCAGCACCTCCAGCCACACATCACTGCCACTTTGCGAGAGTGGACGCTGCACGAGTGGGGCCCCTCCAAATCATCACGACTATCACTCATCTGTGTTATTCTGTTGGACTCGCACACATTTTCATTAAGCCAGTTTTTTGCACATTGCTCTACCTCTAATTAATAGTTTTAACTTCTGAAGGCTTTATCCGTCCGCTGCCTTCATCTCTAAAGTTCACCATGGCTGGCTTACAGGAAAATCAAATGCTTGTAAGTAATAGTAAGTGAGTAATCAATATTTAAATAGCACATTTTTACAGATCAAAGTTGCCCAAAGTGCTTTACATACTTCGGAGTTAAGATATTATTCCATTCTCTCCACACACGGTGATGACTGAAGCGAGACGCCGAACACACTGGCGCTTCAAAGCCCCCGACCAACACCACCCATTCACTTACTCATTACATTCATACCTATTGTGCGGTAGGGGAAACCGGAGCACCTGGAGAAAACATACTCAGACACAGGGAGAACATGCAAACTCAGCTACTGTGTCATCCACTACAGTTTAGAGTATTCAGGCAAAACTCATAATTTCCGGACAGCTGCACTTTTGTCCATTACAGTGTATATTGCATTCATTTGATATTTAAGATGATGTATACTATCAGAGATCACTTACTACTTCACTTTTGTTTGATCACATTGATGACAAGACAAATGCTAATAAAATGTTCTCGTGAGCAGGTCGCAGAGGGCAGTAGCACAAATCTGGCCACAGCTGGCTCACAACCCACTCTGCGGTGACTTATACCCTTTCTCCTACACACAAATGTGTCTGCACCGTAATGACACGACGGCTGCCAGAACCCGACCAGGACCTCATGAGGAGAGATGGAAGGATGCAAACGGAGCGGTGAAGGAAAACACACTTTTATAGGAGTTTCAAAGACAGAGATAAGGGAACACACACTACACACACCCAGACGCGAATGGTGACGGCCATATTTTCCTGGTTATGTCTCTTTGTGTGAGAGTGACGCACTATTTGAATGGAACACACACACGTAGAGTTGAGTAAAGAACGGTAGAATCATACCTGTAGCTCAGTCTGAAAGAAAAACTTCTGCGGACACTGTGAACAGTCATAGATCTTGTCTTCCTGCCCGTGAACTGCAAAGATGTGCTGCTGGAGCTTGTTGGCCTGTACAAATACTGAAACAGACAAATACAACATTAGGATAACCTTCTTTAGACAAAATAAGAACCAGCATTACTTTTTATCACAGGCTCTATTACTTTCATCTGTCTTGTAGCTTGCTAATGAGCACGTAAATTGTTGAACTTTGAAATGTTTCAACCCTTGCTGAAATCTGCCGTTAACCAATCTTACTTTTCAGTGACAGGATTCGAGCTGGAAGAAGAAACGGCCTCATTCACAACAAAACATTAAAATGATGCTATTGAAGGTGATTTATAGTCCAAGGAGGTTCATTTAGTCTTCTGATAGATACTCCAAATGTATAGCTTTGTTTTGTTGTTCTTGTCCTTGAATCTTTGCATTTTTGTAGTGATGTTGTCGGGCTTATCCTTACCTGGCTTTGTGGTCTCTTTTGCCAACCATTTTTCAAGTCAACACAACCTAACTTTTAAAACTTTTGAATGCTGTTTGTATACTACATCTTTCACCCCACCTTGGCCCATGGGGTCAAGGTGGAAACTACACCTAATAATAATTCTTTTTTTTATTTTTCTTTTTTTTAAATGATGGACTGTCCAATTTAAAATAATTTGAAACTACTGAAAAATTATGTTTTGTTTTGTTCTTGGCTTTTAAGTTCATTAGGTCTCAATCTATTGTCAACCCATTTGGTTTTGTGTCTTAACAAACACAATCATTTCTTAGTTTGCGAGTTAGTTAATAAGCCTGTGCACAGACGATCCAGGACACAAGTGTATTCCTCCGTTCAAAAGTGAGTCCTATTGTTCAATAAGTTGCCCTTTTCTGAGAGTTCTACACTACACTACACTGTTGACACCGCACCTCCACTTTGCCTTTGTTTCAGTAAACTTTTTTTGAGTTTTCTTTTCTGTGTGGATGCGTGTGTGTTGAATTATTAAGCCTTCCCCACCGGAGCGTTGCCCATCTTACTAATTCATAAGTCACCAAGGAATAGAGTTAAAGTTTAAAGTGTTGGCTGTGTACCTGGGGCTGGGCTCGCTGCACAAGACCAACCCCGACTCAGGGAAAAGGGCGACAGAGGAAAGAAAGCAGACGCAGGACGGAGATAGTTGAAGGCTACATGTGTGCTGCTGTACGAATCGGAACGCTACAGGCCTAATGTGCTCATCCAACATTTTCAATAGCCTCTCCAGTGACTTTCCAATACATAAACCACAACAAACTGGTGTTACCCTGCCGTCTACAGTGGCATCCTGCTGCTATTGTTTGCCCGCTCTTTAGAACAAAAGATACTTCACCAAAACATGTAAGAGGGGTTTCCATCTGGGCCCTAATAACACGTGGTACATGACATTACAAATCCATCTGCTATTCCTCGTGGTACTCTGAATTATCTGAGACCCTGAAAAATGCTCTGATATGATGGTTTTATTATTCACTCAACTGATTTCTCCAAATGTGCGTGTATGGGCAATCTGGTTGTTTATGTCTGACTGACCTTAGTTTATGGCACTTCTACTTCACTTGTCATAGTATACTGTATTATTCCTGAATAAATGTGGGTAAATGACACAGGACTACAACTGTTAAAGTCAAAATAAAGTAATAAAGTAAAATATAGTCACTATTTGACGCTTTGGGCTGAGACTTGACTGTGAGGGTGGTAAATTTTGTCAATTTTTTTGGGAAAAAGCTCAAATAAAAATATAGAGACACCAAAATGTACGAATAGAACTATGTCTGTAACGATTAATCAATGAATATTTTAGTAATAAATGAATCGTTAACTCCTATTCATATAAACTTCAACACATTTATTTGTTGAGATATATTATTTAAAAACACAAATATCAAACATTTTAGGAATGGGAATTGTGTACATTTTTATTGATAAAATTGTCTGTTCTGGGGGAAAAAAAGTCTATTAGAATTAATTTGCTTTATTAGGGTCAACTGATATAATTTGGAAGAATAACCAGTAGAAGAACCACTATTTCATGCTGTAAGTAGTTAGTTACAGCATGAAATAGAAAGAAACATTAAATTATTACACCTGTATATGATTTATTGTATTGTGTATTGTATTGTATATGACTTGTATGTTTCATGTGTTTTTTTCATGGGAGGGGCTTTGTGACCCTGGATACATACACTTTTCTTGCCAACTTATTTTGTTGTGGTTTTAAAGTTACAGACCCCAGCTTCAATGCCAAATATGGGACACGAGTGTAATGGTCTGTCCTTGAGGAAGAGGCTCACCTGTGAAGCAGACGGGACACTTGAAGGTACCTCCCATGCCTTCGAAGCTGTGCTCTATCAGGTGGCACAGCAACTTGGCAGGTGAGTCAAACATCTGGTTACACAGCTTGCACTCGTGATTGATGCCCTCCTCTGCAAATGAGAGACAGACACGTGTGAGAGGACGACACCGCAAAACAGGTGACATACAGCAACAACATGAACATCGTATGCAACAGTTACAGCAGCGACACACGCGCCACTGGTCTCGCATTCTCAAAAAAGTACTTTGTTCTTGACTTTTGGATTTGAGATTGAAATCCTGCTTTAACAAAAAAAATATGTAAAAATGTCCTTTCACAGTTGACAAAAAGTTCAAAGGCGACATATAAAACTAGTCCGTTAGTTGAGTGGCTTTACCCCAGAACGGTGGCTGAACTCTGGACCCTCCATCCACATATAATGCCAAGCTGTGACCCAAATACTGTAAGAAAGGATCGTAGCAAAAAATGACTGTAAAATATTTTATAGTTTCACTAAGTATTGTTTAATGAGCATTGAATAATACTACACCCTTTTAACAATAGAACTCCAACAGACTCTGGAATCAAATAAATAAAAAAACCTCTAAGTTACTAACTAATTTTCAGTGGATTCTTTTCTTCATTCATAAGTATAACAACTTATGGTCACGATTCTTGATATTACTTTCTATAATTTTCTTACGAGCAAAGGTAACTTCTTACTAGACTAGGGGATACACAAAATGTTGCCCACGAAAGGCTTGCGACCCAATAAAAAGGATCTCACAAATCGCTATTTGAGAATTATACAAATTAATCAAGTGGGACAAACTGATGAATGTTGAATGCTAAAGCCAGCTTGCATAATCTGCAGAGTGTGTTTAAATTTATTTTTTAACTTCCACAGAACAAAAAAAGATATTAATATTGTGTGGAAAAGGCTGCTCTCTGGAGACGTACCAGGTTGGCTAAGAAGACAAAGATGAATTTTGTATAATTAAAATAAAAAATATGATTTCTCGTTTCCAAGTACAGGTTGCATCAGATTTTAACTCATGGTACAGTGCTAACACCCCTGAGTGGCTGTCTGTCCTGCCTGGTAATTGCCTGCCCTCCCCACCGGGACAGCGATGATTTAGACTTCCTATAGCCCCCCTCGACCCCCCTCGGCCCTCGTTATTTGCCCTCCCCACTGCACTCACCCTCCATTCCTCACATCAGGCACTGCTCCATTACATATACATTAATAACCTTATCAACGTTGAGACGGTGAAAGTGTCTGTTCAAACTTCAAGATTCTTTCACTTTCTTCGAGAACTTTATTTGTATTCATGTTGGTTCCTAAACATTTAGAACTTACAATGATGTTTGAATGTAGAAAATGTGTGTCATAACCGCATTATCAGGGAACAGTGGGAATAGTGTTTTCATGGTAGAAAAAGGCTACACATTTTTTTTTCAACATAATAGCATGTTTTGGACCACAAGCTTAGGTATTATTTTAAGACCAAAATAATAAGAATATCAATCTTTTTGTTAACATTGATTTTAAAAAAAACTTTTGACAACCCTAATTGGGAATCACAACTCTCATTGCTCTCATTTTGTGCATGTAAAAGTGTTCTGGTGTCCATAGAAAGAATGTGTACCCCTGTCCCAAAAAAAGAAGTATCTCAACAAATGTGACTTTCTCAGGACAAATTATACTATATAATTAAGTCAGAAAACTCTTTCAAGTGTTTAGATACAATTCCTGATAGTGCGGCACATACTTAAATGTTCTGATCAGTTTTGTTTCCTTTATGAACAAGGAGCCTGAGCTATACATCACAAAAATTATTCTTCATGAGGCTTTTCAGGTAAAATAACCATAGAACAGACTCAACAAATGTCTATTAGTTAATCAACAATCACTTTATAATCACAAAGATTTATAAAGAACCTGATCGTATCATAAGCCCAGTCTTTGAGCATATGTATCTATTTTGAGGAGGTGTGTGTGACATCACCTCCCCCCCAGTGATGGACCAGATGAAAGGTGGGCGTTTAAACTCACTTCATGTGGCGACCGGGCCCCACTCATTTGTCCTTATCACTACTGTACCATACATGACCAATGCCCCAATGCCCCCCTGCACACCACATGGGGCAGCACACACTGAAACTGCCCGGGGACATCAGATGGTGTCATCTGTGGGCCAATCTGGGACCCCGTGTGGAGTAAAAAAAACACACACACAAAACTGTACACCGTTTTTTTTAGGACAAATCTCTTCCTTGATTTATAAAAAAGGCAAATAGTACATGCTTCAATTTGAGTGGTATTGTTCTTCTAATTATGTACATGCTTTAACTGAATTCCTGAGCCATACACAGCACCCATGTGGTGGACCCAGTGGACTCCATTGTCACTTATCCGGAGCTGGTGGAGTCCTGCAGCAGAGCGGCAGGGTGCGGCGGGTTAATAAAGTCTTCAATCATACATCTATGATACAAACTCACTAATACAGACACAGATCACAATCACACTCTTCAAAGGCCAACACAAGGGTGCCCTAATCCCAGCTCCGCAGCTGTGGGGGAGGGTTCCCGGAGATGGTCCCTGTGCCCAAATAGAGCCTGTCCATGAACACACACGACGCTCAAAGGCTGTATGTGGCGGGGTGCCAGTGTGTCCATTACACACTGGGACTGATAGAGCTTCATTATCATTGGGCAAGAGATTGAAACAGGGCCGGAGAGACCCCTATAGACTCTGACCTGTGGCGAGACTTTGTGGGCATTCTGGATTTATGAAACTTATGAAGGTAATGTAAATCAGCCTCACCTAAAGTCATAGCCTTTCAACCAACTACAAATTCAACTGATATGTGCGGCTTTGATGGATGAAAACAAAAGGGAATATAACTGAAGTAGAAAGGGAGTAAAGGTAGCGCCTACGCTTCAGTGATCTCCGTATGCGAGTGTGTGCTGGGGGTCTCTGTAGAAGGCACCTTAAAGCTCCAGCCCTCAGTAGGACTAACACAGTCTTTAGAAGTCCTCATGTTCCCCTCCCACACACACAAACACATACACACATCTTTACACGTGGACAGTACTGGGCCCATTATCAGTGCGCAAAAAGACTCCCACATGAACACAATGTATCTATCAATTAACTGTGAAAACAACAACTTTACACATCACTTTGAAGGAACAGGTTGTAGTTTGAGGACCTACTGGTTTAGTAAAGTCATTACAATAACAACCCAAAACTTTGTTGCTACTGCCTCTGCAGGCATCACACATGAAGCTCCTAAAGGCTCTTTTAAGCTCGACGTTTGAGACACGCAGAGATACGTGTGGAAGTTTATATATTTTCACATAGGTGTATCTGTCCAGTGGGGGTCAAACCATTTGAAACAGTCTCTAAACCAAGCAGTAAATTAGATACTCACCCCTGTCTGTATCCAAACCATTGTGACCATTCCACCTTAGATTCAAGAACATGAGTGAGCGTGATTGGCCCCTGCTGGTCATTAATCAGAACTGCACTCTTAACGTTGGAGAGTCACTAGTAACAGAACCATGGTCGTTATGCATGGAACACACTGACCCGTTTAAAAAGGAAAATTAAGAAGAAATTACATCAACTCTGATGAGGTTAAAAAAAAAAATCTGCTTTCTGATTGAATGATCAGCTTGAGAAACAAAATATGACATAAGCAAAAAAGTGTCCATTGTTTTTTGTTATTTAGAGCATTATGTTATTGAATTACTGTCTGTTTTTCACAATGGACATTCAGTAAAAAAGGTAGTGAATCAATGATGTAGCAAGAGAACCCAGGTGGACAGATGAGCTAAGCCACACATTGAGGCACAGATAATTGGGCTGCATAGAGAGAGCCCTCCTCGCCCGTGTCCCATGAAAGTCTCTTTTTTGACAAATACTTTGTTTTGATCAGTGTATGTAGGGACTGCAGTCTCCATGTGCTGTCCCCCTCTGAGGCCTACAACATGTGCTAGCGTGCACGAGTGTGTGTGACTGTGCACGATTGTGTGTGACTGTGCATGAGTGACCCGTAGTGAGATGACAGAGCTGCCAAGCGTCCCGCCGCTGTGCTTTGTCTCACAGAGTGTATTTGATCCAGCAGCGCGCACACACACACACACACACACGCACACACACACACACACACACACAGCCCTGGGAGGCCGGAGCTGGGACACAGAACACAGGGGAGACCGGGATGAGAGAGAGTCACAAAGCCAGGGATGGGTGAAGGTTACGACTCAAGTTTGTGACCGCACTACAAAATCTGACTGCATTTGTCGGTTTTAATATTCTAACAACATGGACATAAGAATATGTTTCATAACAAATGTGATATTGAGTAACATTCTACATCTCAATGACAGTCATGTATTTCCACAGTTCTGTACAACACATGATCTCCTCAAATAGTAGATTAGTAAAAACTAAAGGCCGGATACAGTACGAGTATTTTTATCAACCTGATTAGTCAAAGGCATGATTAAGCTGTGCTCAGAAATTATTAGTTGCCATGCCAACAGTTGGGAAAGAGGAAACCAATGGTCATTGTGTGAAAAGTACATTTTAAATCTGAATTTAAAGGCCATACCCACAATTGACTAAACTAGAGTTCCTTTAGTCATCTACTGAAGTACATAACTGTTGTTGCAAACAATACAACAATGTACTGTATCATATTATCCACAACAGATTATAATTATATAAAGGATAATATAATGTATGACAACTGTGGACATGTATTTTAAGTCTCACCCTTCCCATGTCCCTGTGCTCAGGACCACCTCTGTGCTCATTGGCTGAAGAACAGGACCAGGTGGCACTAGCCTCACAATGCACACACACACCTCACCACAGAGCAGTGCAACATGAGGCTAAACAGTTAAAACAGCTTTTCTTTGAGTCACTGCCTATTATTATATACAATCTTTAACCACTTCCTGTCTTGACTGTGGGATCCTTTGGGTGCACCCCAGCCCCCACTCCTCCATCTGTTTGTCTACTCCCCAAGGTGCCCATGCAGTCAAACCGAGCCAGGCGATTGATGGCCGGGACAGCGAGGGACCCACGGAGAGCAGGGGAGGCGAAAAAGCATGCAG